CGCCTCGAGCACGCGTGCTGTCTAAGAAGAGTCGATGTAAAGTTCACACGCGTTCATGTTGCTGCTCAGGTGGAGGCTTTCATGCCGCTGCACCTCAACTCTCTGATCCATCAATGCTCTTGGTTTGAGTGAAAGTATTACTGTGGATCCAAACTTTTACACGTGTTATTTGTCCAAAGTAAGGCAACCCCACCAGAGCTGGCTGCGTACATGTGTTTTCTTCACAACTCAGAAAACTCGTGTTTAATGTGTAAGGTTTGATTTTGTTTTTTACTATTTCAAGAGGCAAAGGAGCTCGTGTTGAAGACAGGAAACCAAAAAGCTGGAAAAGTAGAACTGCAGCCAATCAGGTTCATTGATTAACGTGACACAAACTGTGGAACAATTTCAGAATAAAGTTCGTCACTGTGAAGATCTCATCATCTACACAACAACACGTCGTCAGCGTGAATGTGGAGTAACGAGCAGCGTTTCATTAAAACATGGTTATGTGATGAAATCAGTGCAGACGCTTTATTAGTCTGTTTGTCTGAAACGTGCTGGGATCAGCTGGATCCATTCAGACTCCTAACCCTAACTACAAACAGATGAATGAACCTTTGAGCTCCTCGTAATAAGGACTGATTGCCTCTTATCATATCTAAAGGGACAAAGTGTTCATGTTTCATGCAGCAGTCATAGATGTGCACTAACAAAAGGTTCTGTGGTTTCTCAGGTTTGTCCCATTACTGTGACAGCTTTACACGCTCGCATTAGTACAGAAAGAATCATCCCACCGTTCGTATGTCGATGACACACACTTACACTCATCCTTTTCCTCTGATGAGCGAGCATCTGTTCACATGACCTGTGGGATTAGCATTGAACAGTTTGTCTGAACTCCAGCGCACGAGTCAGGACGCTCAGCATCATCGCTGAGCTCAGCATCGTCGCTGAGCTCAGCCGTTGATAAAGACGATAAAGATAAGATCACCTTTATTAGTCCCACACGTGGGAAATTTGTTTTGTCACAGCAGGAAGTGGACAGTGCAAAAGTTATGAAGCAAAAATTAGAATATAATAAGAATAAATACAGTACACAACTGTACAGAGTAGAATAAAATAAAATACTATATACAGTAGAATAAAATAGAATAAAATATACAATAGGATAACAATAGAAGACAAATGCTGTATACAACTGAGTAAAAATACAACGATGCCAGAAAGAGTATTGCACTTAGTGTTATTGCACATGTGTGGATGTGTTTGATCAGT